CACCCACCCACCCACCCCGGCTGACGCCGGCACAGCCTGCGCCAAGCCACAGGTCCTTCACCGCAACAGCGGCTTGCAGGGCTTTGTGCCGTCACCCTCTCAGCCAGGAGAGGGTTCCCAAACGTAAATCTGTTCAATGCTACGCCCCTAGAAGTCTCCACAGAAGCAAACTGGAACAGCCAGATATTTCTACTCGTATTTCTAGATGAGACTGTGAAAAATGAACCTGTCAGTATAGCACCATTCATTAGGCTAGGGTTAGCAACATCAATAAACTCTCTGATGACACTGAGATTGCTGCTATGCAATAAAACGCCACTGCTGCTTCTCACTGTACATTCCCTCTCAGCCATACAAGCAGCACTTGAAGGCAAGTTTCATTCATCTCCCAGTACATCCTCCTCCTCCCCTTCCTCTCCTCAGAGTCTCTCAGGACAAGCCAAGTCACTGTAACTTTGTGTGTGTGTGCGTGCGTGCGTGTGTGCACGCACACGTGTTTGCACGGGCACACAATTAATCCTCTCTCAAAGTGAAACCTTTTAACATTCGTGACAATTATGGGCAGATGAATTTTTCTATCTTTCTCTTCCTTCCTTCCTTCCCATCGTTCTGTGCAGATACAGCTTTATTCAAAAGGCTTTGGTGATTAATTTTAATGTAAGTTATAAATGAGGGCTTTATACAATTGTATCATGCGTGAAGAGGATTATTTTTCCAATGGATTACCATAAAAATGAAGTTGCTGAAAATGTGCTCTCTCAACAACCCAGAGATCATCTGTTCTCTTTGAGCTGCCAACTAAAGGAGCAGAAGAACAGAGCTTTTCTCTCTGATGAAAGGAGAGGTCACAAGGTATATTACCATACTATTGCCTGGCATCATTTCATTTCAGTCTTGGCCCCTTTCAAGCCTCTGGCCAATCCTGCAAACGCAAGCATACAGCTCTGCTCATTTGTGCACCCTTACACAAGTGGATAAGATTATGTGCGCAAGTAAAGTTCACTTGCTGAAGCCATCGTGGGGATGAGGCAGTCTCCTACACTTTTGGGGAGCAGGGAAGAGGGGTTTCATGCCTACTTTGCCCTCCAAATTAATTCACAGAGGCAAAGCCTTGCCCAGACATAAACTGTTACTGATGCTCAGGGTAGCTGAGGAGGGGAAACAAATCTTAGAGGAATAATCAGGCCTTACTGCTAAATCCTGTGCGTTAAAGAGGGCATATTCATCATCGATGCCCAGCTCTGGAGTTCTGCATGCAGTAGGCGCGGGAGCAATGCCTGCTTGGGGGATACGTACTTCATTTCACTGTTGTGAGCTGTCAAGCCATGCTTTAAAAATGAACCAAGTTCACACTGTGTGTTTAAACTCCAACTAATATCATTGCTTTGTTGATGTCTGGCAAAAATATCACTACCGTTGCTGCAGCCTTTATGTCTGGTCTTAGCACTGAAGGTTTAGAGTGAGGGGCTATCATCGGCATTAGAAAGTAAGGAAGCCAGCGGGTGCTATTAACCTGGTGGACCACGTTCGTGGCAACTGGAACGCAGCAGTTACAACAAGGACGCCGGAAAGACATCAGTGGAGATGAGCTCGCTTTAAGGAGACAATATACTTCCAGGAAGCAAAATATGTTAAAGGTCTGCATGGGAACTTTCAGAATCTTTTACAGGAGAGTGAAAGAAAGAAGAGGCTTCCACTGGAAGCTGCCCATGAAGGAATCAGATCGCACTGGCTCTGCTCTTTCTCATATGTTAGTACCAAAAAACATCCATTATTGAACCCTACTGAAGAGCAGAGAGCCAATGGTGGGAATTTCTGTATTAAGGAAAAATGAAAATACCGGACCAAATTTGTCTCCAGCATAAATCCACTGACCAGAAGCACTACAACGCTCAGCATGATTAACAGCCTCTGTTGAAGAGAAGATCAGTGCTAGTGTAGCAAGGAAGGTATGGTGAAGATAGAAGCGCACGGACAGCAACGAACAAGGGCAGGACTGCAACAGCAACAGGTCTCAGGTCAGCACAGGAACGGGGCTGATGCACCAACTAACAAGTCTTAGAAACGATGATGGGGAGAACCTGGGAGAACAGGATTACTATTGAATAAACCTTGCAATTTATCCTGCTCTCTCCAAGTTCCATCAATTAGCAAAGCTTTACTTGCAAATGTCCTCCAGTTTTCTGCTGAGGATGGCTTCAGCTGGACTGAAATATGTACGTATATACAGAGCAGCGTGGAAACGGCTTGGCAGAGCTTGGGGCAGGTTTCAGTGTGGGAATAACGGTGAGCAGCAGAGATTACAGATGAAGTATCACAAAGCAGAAAACTGCTTGGATTCTGCTGGTGGCTGCACTAACTTTAGGAGCCAAATGTTCTCAATACCATGCTTACCTAACTGCCAAGTTCACATAACTTACAAACAAATTAACATTTCAAACTGCCATTTTCCAAAAGCAAAGTGATAACAGAACAATAAGAAAAGTCAGAAGAGCAGGAGGAGAAAACTGTCTTGGGTCTCAGCACAGACCAGACGTTTAGAAATCATCCTGAGCCTTCCCTTTGGGGAGATAATTACATTTTATTTGTTCTTTTTACTATTAAAGCCACAAAACAATGCAATTAGAAGATGAAACCCAAGGTCTCATTTTTCCAGCTGTCCACTCACATCTGGGGACCCCACTGCCTGACAGCTCATTCATTTACACAAATGTAACTTGACAGAGCTCCTCCATTTCAGTGTTAATTTCCTTTGGCAGCGTGAATGGGAGATGAACCAAACCCATAACTGCCTTGCATTATTCTTTGCTTGGATGTGACCTTCCAAGCAATTTTACATATATGTCCTCATTTTAGGATTACGCCACTTGCACGCATGTTGGATGTCGTCTGGAAATTCAACACTGTAGCCTGGTGGAAAAGGTTTGTTTCTCAGAACATCCCTTAAGTGAAGGGCATTTACACTATATATACACACACAGAAGCTCTTTGATGCTATTTTAATATAGTAGTATCATGGGCAGAAATAGCAAATAATCTGGGTTCACCACCACTTGGAATGACAGATGTGTTACAGGCATAAGCCATACATGGTTAAAAAGCGAAAGTGAAGGAGGAAGAGAAGTGATGCCGCTGCTTCCCAGTCTGGCAAGGGGATAAACCAGCACTCTCTACTTTGTGACTCTCCAAGTGACACTACACTCTCTTTATCCACTTTATATAAATATTGATCTATTACTGGAAAAAGAAAGCTGTACGTGGAAATTAAAACAAACTACAATAACCATTGCCTCAGCAGAGATACATTTAAGTATCAATATTTGGATTTCTATAGCAAAACTACTGGGAGATTTCAGCAGTGCCTAAGGGATTTGGAAACCCACAAGAGAAAGTTAACCAAACCTTTCAGCTAGCTCTGACCTCAAGCTAGGAAAGCACAGAGTGAACCATCACCTCACTGAAGAACAGCTGCACGTAAAAATCAGCAGTGAAGAGCCCCCAAACGCCTGACTCACCCTATCGTGCAACCAGCTTCTGCCTCTATCGTCCAAATACAATTAAGATTATGATCGTAGGGTGTCGGGTAGCCAGGAGACAGTATTCGTCCTGAGGACTCGCCTTTGATAGCACCCCCACACTCAGCTGAAAGAAACATATGGATTAGTTAGATTCATTACATATTATGGTTCTTACTTGGCAACAATGCAAATTTCATCCCAATTGCAATGGCGAGAGAATTGCTTGCCGCTTAAAGAGATTCTCAAACCTTACAAACCAAAGATAAGGAGGGTCACTTAATTCAGCTAAAGCGAGTCATCAGAATAGCTCCGCACTTCTGCGCACGTTCCTAAAATCTGACATGTTGTCAAAGCAAAGAACAACTTCCCCCCATCTTTTTGGCTTCGTCGCCAACAAAGGCAGAGCCTGCCAGCATACTGCTTTCCCTAATTCACACACGGGGTGAAAGAGCTCAATGATTCTGCCTGTATCTGCAAAGAGTCTTAACAATTTGTAGGTGTGACAAAACGAAGAAGTCAACGTACCTATGTATCGGCCAAATGAATTTCCAAAGAACTTGAGGTTCTTTAATGTTTTCATAACGCGTCCATTAAAATTCTGTGAGTTTCCACATACTCACACAGACACGACTACTCACACACAATATACACAGAGCAAACAGGGTAAAGGTTAAGATGGATGAATCACTGAAATTTGCCTTTTTACCTCAATAATTAAGACTAAAATTCAGCAGAGGGTTAGAGCACACAGAAGGTTCTGACTCCTGGGAGAATTCAGAGCATCAATGCCTGAGCATATCGCTTAGTACCGTGAAAGCAGCCTGGTGGTTGCCGAGATCTCCAAGAGGAGTAAGTCTGTAAAAACGCCACTGTGTCCTGACAACACTAGCTGGTTATGTGGTTATTGAGTATCAAACCAGTAGCACTACATTTAGATACCCAAATCTTAATTCCAGAGTGTTCTAGGCAAAAGCATATCCTTCTGGAGACTTACGGGAAAAGGGGAACTCAGGACTTAGCAAAGAGGAGGCTGATTTAGGGAATTAAAACGTCTGAGAATCTGGGATCAAATGCCATGTAGCTCTCAAATAAATCCGACTTCGAGCTGTCAAAAACCTGGACACACATTGATATCTGCCGTTATCAGAAACGGCCACTGTATTTAACACATTCCCAAGGACTGGAAAGGCAGCAGAGTCCTCTCCACGAAGCAAAAAACCTTGTTAAAACCGTGCTGAAGGGCTTGGAGCACAGTGTTTCATGCTAAGACTGCCAGTAGACATTTTGCAGAGATCAGTGCTCTCAATCAGAAGATGCCTTTACAAGGGATCCTTAGCACTGTCTTTTTTGATGTAGATGGGTGTAGTCAATACCAGAGTCAACGTCACACGTGTTAGCTAAGGAGGAAGAGAGGGCGTTCAGTGCGAAGCCCACAAGCAAGGTACTTTTGAGAGGACTTAAAAGCAAGAGCTGTCTCACCTATGCAGGTCGGCAGGGGTTGATCCCAAGCTCTCCGCTCCCCAGTCAGGCAGATCAGCACCCTGCTGCCTCGCAGGGTATAGCCAGGGTCACAGTTAAAGGATACAGAGCTGCCAGCAAAATGTCCTTCATCATGGACCTTGTAGCCGAACTGTGGGATGCCAGGGTCCTCACATTTAATGAGTTCAAAACCTGGGGCAGGAAAAACAGGGTCAGTTTTCACAAGGTATTTAAAAGACTGAAAATATGAATACATGTAGTATTAAATATTTTATTCTCACAATCTTTTCCTGGAAAAAAGAAACATTATACTGAGAATTATATTTTTTGCTTAAGACTTGAGCAAGATCCCAGAGATCTCGTATCTCAGCTTTGACTCAAACTTTCTGTAGGGCTTCTGGCTCCTTCACAGCAGAACAGGTTTGCCAACATAATCATCTCCCCTGCTCTCAACGCACTTTAGATGACAAGATCTTTTGGGAGAGGACTGCTTTGTCCGGTCATGCAACTGTAACACAAAATACATTACTACAGCTAGGCTTCCCGTTTCACAAGGATACGGGCTGAAGGCTTACTAGAAAACTGCAGCTCAAAGCCTTTACTCGTGTTCTCGCTGTTGGTGATAAACTCGAGCCACATGGTGCTGGAAGTGCTGTTTATACTTGTGCCGAGCATTTCAGTGCGACTAAAGGAACCCAGCAGGCGAGCAGAGCTATTGCTGCCATCATAGACCTAGGAGAGACAAGAAACACGCATTGAAAAACACCTTTTATTTAAGGAATCGGGGCCAAATCCTCCAAAAGTGCCAACAGGCTGCTTCTTCGAAGCCAGTGAGGTTATCCCGACTAAGAGCCTGACTTTACAATGCTTTATGATGCTGCTCATTTGAGGAGCAGGATTCATAACCTGCAGGATATGAAGGTAAGGTGGTGGCACCCTTACACCTCTGCTTATACGGCGCTCACTGCTGTGTTTTCTGAACAAGCTTCTCTTTCCAAAGGTGCAGCACAGCTACTGGGAAAAACATTTCCTTCGAGAACGTCTCACAGATGTGTCTTGGCCCCAATAATGTTAAAAAGAAAAAGTTTTTTTTTTTCCTTGTGGATAGGATGATTCTCTACAAGAATAAAGGGCAACTTCTCACTAGTGGAGATTGATAGTAACTTTCTTTGGGAATACGTGAGAAGTTGCTGACAAGGCTGTTGAGAGAACACTGGTTCTATCGTAACCGGCATGTTCTTTGCGTTAGCTGGAAATCTCTCTCTTGCTTTCCAGCGATTCTGAGTTGAAAACATGTCGATTACACAGTGCAGAAGTATGGCACCTAAACAAGGACAGCGATGTTTTCTGGGAAGATGGCTTGGCACAGCAGCACGCATCTTATAATAATAATGCCTCCTACAAAAACCATTACTTTGTGTTCTTAGAATTCAGCCTGGATTTGTACAGGCTCCTTCTGTGCAGGATCCTGAAGCTTGTAAATACAGATTAATCTAAGACTGAGTATGGGAATGCTGAAGAGCTTGGGTCTGGAGTTCTGCATTTAAATAATCCCTTTTTTGGGACAAATGATCCTTGGTTCTTAGAAACACAAAAATAATGCTTAGAGCCTCATGCTTCCTCATGTGTTAACAGTTTCCATTGTATGATGGTACAGATAAGAACTTAGCTGCAAGGGAGGGCTGCCTGGCACTCCAGCAAATCTCTAAAATGATGTTATTTTTTGGAAGTTAATGGGTATTTCTACACACTTTGAACTGTGCAATTTCTGTTACTCTGTGTGGTGTCCAAAGATGCTGGGTTAAAACCTGTCTTTACCTAGCTACTGACTCTCACATGCAAAGTGCTTTCCTTTAAAAATAAAAATAACCTCTTATTTTCCATATGGGCTTTTTTCATTACCACTGCTGAGTTCAAAAGATGCTTGATAAACTAAACAAACAGTACAGCACAATATATATGACAAAGAGTGAAGCCTTCCCTACATCTCAGTAAAGACTTCACAGCAGAGGCTGAAGTGATATGGCCAAGATATCAACATTTCTATGGGATATGGAATTTGTTCACACGTTCCTTAGCAGACTGAAGCCTCAGACTCAGACAGGCTGACATGCAAAGGACATTCACTATTGTCTTGGTGCAGCTGCTAGAGACTGGCACGAGTCAGTGAGGTTCAGAGGTGCCGAGTCCCTAAAATTACAGGGTACGTCTTCAAGCACAGCAAACCAATGCACAGCAGTTATAAAAGCTAATTAGCTGGTGTCCACAGGCTAGAAGATACTGTTTCACACATCTATCATCACCACTTGAGTCTTGCTCCAACCTCAGAGGGCATACGCACAGTTTCACTTCTCTTTCAGATCTTGCTCTCGTTTTCTCAGCAGCACTACCCTTCATTGCCAGAGACAGAAGAATTACCTTGAGGACATCTCCTGCCTCCAGTTCAAAAGTCCTGGCTTTCAGCTGGATCCCCTTTCCTGGCTGGGTCTGGATGGAGTAGATGCATTCATGGTTGTTGTTATAGTTTATTGGGTAGTTGGGGGACAGCAGAACACCTTGAGTTCCAGTTACAGATGAACCACATTCAGCTATACAAACACAAAAAGACGTATTTTAATAACCACATATATAGCCTAGCTATACAGCACATGCAGGTGATTCCTCCAAATGGCCACAGATGCTCCTTCCTTTCTATACCCATCTGCTAACATATCCATGGATCTATTCCCAAGTGCAGTTAGTAAACAGAACAGTACTTGCTAGCACTTTTACTATCGTTAAACCTCTCATCCTTCAGAAAAGAGATTCATATCCTCTCACTGTATAGACAGCGAAACTAAGTTGCACAAAGGCGGAGTGCCCAAATGCTCCCTTGGATCCAAATTCAGAAACACGTTCTGAAACCCAGGGAGAGTCACCACCTGCTTAAAAGAGGGCGTGTGCTTATGTTCCCTCCTGGGACGTGAACCAGAAGCAAATTTTAAAAACATTATTAGATTGAAATATGTATAGCCTTCTGCCATGTTGTTCAGACACAGCTCACTCTATACCTATACAAGTTTTATATTTAATGTAGCATATAAAACTCATGATGGTATTCATTTAACAGGCACCACAGCACATCACTGATTGCTGGTAACAGACTGTCGCGAGTGCAAGAGCTCTTTGTGCAGAAAGGCATGCTCAGTGAAATTCATAAATAATTACAAATGAAAAAGCAATCCATGAATTAAAAAAACTTCCTCAAAATAATTTCCTGAAAGCTACGAGGGTAAAACTTGACATTTCCTTTTTGTTGTTGTCGTTTATTCTGCCTTCAGCTCTTCAATTCACCGTTTGTCAGCATTTTAAAGGACCCCTTATCCCCTACTCTCAATTTTTTCATTCCCAGCTTTGCAGCGAACAGCCATTTCCACTAGAAACAGAGAGAAGCTGAGATCCTTTGCTTCCCAGGTTCGGAAGCTAGTTCCAATTTACGCATCTTTATGTCCTCCCAAGATGGCACTCAAAGGGCCACAACGGGCTCCAGGTTTTTCTGTGGCACAGAAAAAGCTGACCTTTGCTGTTCAGAACACAAGGGGCTGGGGGCAGAGCAGGAGAGGCCGATGCGGGAATCCCGGTATGCCTAGGGGTAGTTAGTGTTACTGCAATGGTTTCCCCCTTCCCTGGAACTACTGACAGGATGTAACCTGCAATTATTTTATTTGGTATGAAAGAAAAAAAGAGAAGAGTTCTTTTCCTGCTGTTATTCACTCTGACCTGCTGCCTGCTGCTCTTCTATTACATTCTTCTAGTGAGGCTTCTCCGCTCCCAGTTCTGCTTCCTTTTCTACGCTGCGTAATATGAATCAATAGCATTTGATTTTGCGCCAAAATTGAATGTAGAAGATTTGTGTGACTCAAAACTTGGCAGAATGATCCTCTTTAGAGCTGGAGGAGGAAGACAGCTTTGGAGTTTTGACCTATCTTGGGTGTCAGGAGATCTGGGCTTAACACTTCTAAAAAATAGGAACAACCACCCTTTACTTCTCAATTTTACATGTTTTGACTGCAAGCTTTTAAGGACGCAGTCCTTCTCCTACAAGAACGTGCCATAGCGAGTATAATAGGATTGCTATGGATACGTCTTCACCACACAAAGCAATGAAGAGATATTCAAGTGCATCTGAGTACAACAAGCAGTACTACTGTGACAGCACAGAGCTACACCAGAGCTCGTGGGACAACGTGAAAATTAGGTCTTACCTGCTGTTATCACAGGGAAGAAGCAAAAGCCTGCAATACTTGCATACAGCTTGACGGCCCACTTGCAAAATGGCAGCAAGGCATCCATAGAATGTCCTCCTTAGAGGACACCTCTTGCCAGCAGTTGTCTTGTCTGAGTGCCTGATTTCAGCTAGGCCTTTTGCAGCCTGTTTGATATATATATATATATATATATATATACATATACATACACATATATACACACACACAGTCCCCCAGCACATGTAAATTTGCTCTGCAACGACCATGTGTTTAGGATTTTCCGTTACTCCCTGATTAGCTCCCACATGAGCAAATCACAGAGTCGTCATTTTCTTGGCCTATTTACCCTGAAAGATTTCCAGCTGTAAAACACTGCCCTCCCATTCCTTTGAGTCCTGGTGTTTTGCATGCACAACTGCGGAGAGTCGCTCCAACTTGCCCTGAGAACAGCTTTTCTGATTAGCTAGCTCTGTTTCATCCTCCTCAGGCCTTCCCAGCATACCAAAGTTGCTGCGACGGAGGGAAACCATCCCAGTGCACGTGCAACTTTCTGCACTGACTCTACGACACCCGCCAGACCTCCGGCGAAAGGCGAGGGAAGGAAAAGCAGCAGCAGCAGCCAGGCAGAGCGGAAGCACATCAGAAGCAGGGGGTCCCTGCTCCCCTCACGCCACGTATGAAAGCGTGACTTTCCCCTTAGCGCACAGAGTATCCAAGGATGGTGCTGGAGGCACCGCCACTTGGGGTCTGGCCTGAAGTAGGGGACAATTCTTCCCCTGGAGAGAGGTTGGTCAAAGGAAGAAACTCGCTCTCATTTGGAACTGAATGGAAAGCAATTGGCTGGTCTGGCAAAACCAGTTAAATCTCCCTTGATTTTAATGGGTAAATTCCCTTCTGTATTCTTTCTAAAAGGGCTAGCACAGAGCTGAGTGTGCATCCTGGACCGGGCTGCCACCAGGGCTCTCCGCAAATTGCCAGACAATAAATTTGATCCATTATTATAAAACCAACATGCTAATTCAAAAGCAAATGCAGTAGGGAATTGGGCAAATGGAAGCCACTGTGCCCACTTAGTGATGATGTCTGAACATCAAATTTAAAGCTGTGTTATGATTCCTTTTGATTTCTACTCCCCTGATTAGCTTTCTCCGCATTGTGATCATTATTCATGCCCTGAAGAGACTACTTGTCACAGTAGGATGATGTGACCCTGTGACCTAGGCGTTAAACAGTGCTGGGAAATGCATTCAGCATGACAGCACTCAAAAGCAAAGCTCAACAGACTGAGAACACAGCCTGGCTCTTGCTGGGATGCTGTCTTTAAAACAGCCCTCAAAGGTCACCACCACAGATGAAGAAACATCTACCCGGCAGGGCTTGCCAGCATGTAAGCAGGTAAGGAACCTGGTCTGATTAATCCTTCATGGTGTTCTGGGTAAACAACCCAACAGCAGCGTACTCACTATTTTCCTACTAAGTTGCACAACAAAAATAAAAATGTGTTAAATCTTCCTTTCGCAAAGGCCTGAGGCACTGGCAATATCCTTGTTCCTTCCTGCCTTCTGGCTGTAGCCCATTACTGCTTTTGTTCTTTTACAGTAACTGTTATGCTTGGAGAGTAATTTGTGGGCTGGGGAGGGGGGAATGTTCTGCGGACCTTGCCAGACAAAACTGTCTATAGCCCATTTGCATCAGGGACGACAGCCAGAAACTTGCTCAGTGTTGCAGATGACTTTTTCCTCTCCTCTATCCCATCCCCAAGCTTATTTATTAGTATAAATAATTGCTGGAGAGGCTGCAAAGAGGATCTGCAATGGTTAGGGGATAGGAAGTAAAAGGTATAAGCAAGGAGCCTCGGGAGGATGAGGAAAAAGGTAAGAGCCAGAATCTCTGGTTTCCCAGAGACGTCCACATTAAAGTGAAATTTGCATTGCTTTAGGACTGCCCACCCAGAAGCCGCTTTCACATCTGGACTGTTAAGTTTTACAGCACTCTGATTCAAAGGGAGGATGGCCCTAAAACGCTGCTTTTTTACAGAAACTATCCCCAAGCCAACGTTAGGTCTCCCACGGCTTGTGATCATTCACGTGTACAATTACTGGGGCTCAGTGCAGCACTGGGGACGGGCGGTGAGACACAGCGCTGCTGCTGGTGGGTGACCCCAACCGCTACGCGCACGGGCGAGCTCCAACCAGGGTGGAGACTGCAGCCTTTTATGCGCCCTTCCCCTCGCCACGTACAGCCTTGCTAAAGGGCTGCCAGGGCTGAGGCTCCTTCTAGCTCCCTCTCCCCCAGCACCCTCCAGCCTGCGAGCTGAGAGATGCCACCCCGTGGGGATGCCACCCCGTGGGGACACCACACTGCCCTGCCCACCTAACCAATCCAGCACAGTGTAATCTACCAAGCAAAATGAAAGCACGTGACCACCTACCAACACACCTTGGCAGAGGCGAACTCCACACACGCCGTCTCCCCCCGAGGCAGGTGATGCGGGAGGCGCCCTCCAGGCGGTACCCAGGGAAGCAGGAAAAGGTAAGGACATCCCCCACGCCAAACTGCAGGCCCTTCCGGATGCTGTAGGCTGGGACCTCCGGCTCGTCGCAGGGCTCCAGATCATATTCTGCAGGGGACAAACAGGCATTTGCTGAACAGCGGGTGACACCTCACACTGCCCCCACCAGTGAGGGCACTCCAGGCCCTGAACCCGAGGACGAGGATGGTGCACTGGCGTTCGATCCAGCTGCAGTTCAGGTCAAGCACCCACGCAAGACCTACCTCCTGCTCGAGCCATCCAGATCAGCTTTCTTTTCACTCTAAATATGCAACACCCAGGGTGTCACCAGGATCTTGATTTAAACCAAATCCAAACACGACAGGTCTCATTTTCTGTCGTAGTGGTCAGACGAACAAGAGAGTGACATCAGTGGTGACAAAACACAATGAAAATTTGTCATCCTCTCCCCTGGGCCCGGTGCTAACGACATTGGAAACCAATTAAATTTACCCAGCTGTGTAGGGTGAATGAGACACATGCTTCAAGACAAACAGAAGCAGAGCTCAGTCCCTCTTAAAAAAAAAAAAAAAAACCACTTTGGGGAGGCTAGAATATATTATTTACCTCCTTATGTTGGACTTTGCCTTTTAAAATTGTCATAAAAGAGCCCCTTCAGCACACTAACAGGTCTGGTGTCTGCTACAGTCAAATGAAGATGAACTGATTCAAATGGGATTTCTGCTGCCTCTATATTACTAATCCTGAAAACGAATGCACACAGCATCCTGCTTGGGGAACGCAAGAGAACATTTAAGCGGCTCATGAAAGGTCATGTAGCATGATGGCTAATAGCCAAACGTATGTCTTTGGCCAGAAAACATTTTGAAGGAAACCTCTTTTGAGGGTTAGTTTTTGAAAAATAACAGAATTGCCAAGTACAAAGTATGTGCACATATATCAGCTGGAAACTAAAAATATAACTGACTCCCAATTTCATTTCTCAAAAAAGGAAAGAAAGGAAAGTTGTCCCTAAAACACTGAAAATAATTTACGATTCAGAAATTTAAGTTTTTTTTTTTTTTTATAAAGGGAAAAGGCCATTTTCCCCCATCAAAAACAAAGTTAACTGGAAATTTTCTTACTAGTTTCCACAGGGTATCATATGCAAATCCCTGATTTCAGAGGCCAGAACAAAGGTATCTGAACCAGTTCTCTGAGCACAGCAGAAGGTTTCATCTGCATCTATGGCAACAGCTCGGCCCACTGAAGACAGCAAGCACATCAGCATCAAGCTCCGCAATAAAGAACGGTCATTTCCCTTCCACATCAGCAGGCAGAATTTGCAGCTCTTGCCCTCAGGACTGGAAAGGTGTTTTAGATACAGAAAAGAACAGCAAGAACCAGATAAGTTTTTGTTCTTTAACTGCCTGTTTTACTCAATTGCTTATCCGGGTGCTCAGGCAATAATGATGACATTTTCTAAAACGTGTGCACAAGCAAACACTTTGGCAGTCATTTGTAGGAATTCAGGTTAAAGGACACAGTTAAACACCTTGTGCTCTTCAGACAGAGATTACACAAGTGCTTACTTGCAAGTGGGATACCTGTTTTGCATAGCAAGCATGCCATTATATGAGTCTCTCTCCAATTGCACCATGCACACATTACTCTTCACTGATGAATTGTGGAGGATCTGGAATTTCATTTGAAGAAACCAGTTATTTTGCTTCATAACAAACAGTTCGAACCAGCAGGGGAAGTGGTTTAGTTTGGTAAGTGCAGGACTGAACGTTAGAGACCTTGGCTCTATTCTTACTTCAAGATCTGTGACTGATTCTCCTCCCTGCATCTTGCTCCCAGCCCTCCAGCTTAGCAGAAGCGCTCAGGGCAGCAGCTGTCTCTCACCGCTGCTTGTACCCAGCCAGAGCCTCACCGGCCAAGCAGGGGTGGGAAGCGCTCCAACACACAGGAGGCAGCATGTGCGGGATGGGGCAGGCGAGGCATGCAGAATCGGGCCTGCCAGTTGCACTCAGCAAAACTCTGCATGCCTCGATGCCCTCCTCTGTGCACCACGTTCGCTTTCTTCAGCTGTTATAGCAGCTCAATTAGAGAAAGCCCAGCAAGAAAATACTGCCTCCAGTTCCCCAGCGCTGCCAGCGGGCTCCTCTAAACCTGGCCTAGGTTACACAAGGCACGTGTTACGTCTAGGATTGGCTGAAGCCAGCTACAGAGGCTGGGTCACTGGAGGAGCAGTTTGCTGAATGGCCGTTGGCGTCCAAGAGGGGCAACGAACCAAAGGAAAAAGAAATGAGGAGACCAGACGGACAACAGGAGCGACCAGCTCCGCTGTGCTCCTTATCCAAGGAGTCCAGATTGCTCGAAGCTGCCTTCCAAAAGATCCCATCTGTCACAGCTTCCTGCGTTGGAAATGGAAACGCTGTACCTATTGCAGTCATTTTCCTCTGATAAACAGAGGACGAAGGAACCTAGAGGAAAGAGGGATGCCATACCCCAAGAAACTGCAAGATGAAATTCTGTCCATAAACAGAGCAGAAAAGTTGATCAGGTGAGACGGGAGAGGGCAACAAACACCTTTGACGTGGTATTTAATTCCAGTGGGTTCAATCCCCCGGCTAATATCACGCAAGACAAGAAACATTACAGAGACATGTTTATTCCTTTTTTTCCCAGAGAAGAGAAGTCCAAGAAAAATTAATAACTAAAAAGAAGCACTCAAAAATGAGTGCAAAACCAGTAACAGTATTTTAAAATACTTTTATTTAGAAGGTATACTTGGGGAACATGTCCCGTTCAGCTTTCAGTCATCAACTCAGGCTTAAGGCAGACAAAATTGCTACCCTCGTCAGCATGGGGTCTGCAAAGGGCATTTCTTGGGACATGCAAAGAACTCAGTGATTTAATGCCAGAGCACTTTACCGGGGTGATCAGAGTACCGTGCAGAGACTGACCTGAATCACATGCACTGCATCAACAGAAAATGATTTCCAAGACTTGCATTCAAGTGGGGAGGAAATGGAAAGAATGAAATCTTTGACCATCCCTGATCTTACCTGAGAAGGTGATATTGAAACCCTCGTAGGACATGGAGAAATCTGAGATGAAGCGAATCTGAGCGGAGAAGTTTCCAAAGAGCCCTGCACTAAGCGGGGCAGGCAGCCGAGAGCCGGTGAGCTGTTTCAGCGGCTGAGCAAAGCTGCTGTTCTCCGTGATGAGCAGGTAGTCATGGCCGTTCTCCAGGTGGAAGGTATGAAAGGTGAAGAACACACCTGTGGGGAAGGAACAACGCAAACGGGTCCCCTTAGCAACGTTTCTGCGGCACCCTGCGTCCAGAGCCGACCCCTCTCCTCAACCTGTGATGACGCCAGAGGTTATTCCTGGTTCCCGTTAACAGCAGCTTGGCTGGGAAGAGACAGCGCACTGCAACGCATGGGCACCTGCACGTTACAAATGAGACGGATGAGAAAGGCAGAGTACAAAAGGCAGGGTTCAAGGCCTAGACCTAGATAACAGATTACTAGAAGTATCCTTCACACCTACAGACACAAAATAGCAAGTACTTCAAGGTTTTGCAAAAGCCTCCAAGCTAGGTGTTTTCCATGCTGGAATTCCAACGCAATTAGAAACACTTATTCTCTGGAAAATAATTCTGCCTTTGAAAAACAAAAAATGCCAGCAACAGCTTTCAGAAAGAAAAGCGAGGCAGGATCCTAGATGAGAAGCCCCGTCACACAAAGTTAGCAAGCTAAAGCAGTGCCTAGCAATAAAAAAGCCTCTTTGCATTCATACGGCTTCTTTCACCCGCAGATCTCAGCACACTCCCCAAGCATTGGGGCAGGCTCCAGCACCCCGGCTCATGCCGAACTGCACATCACGCTCCTCTCAATTCCTCTGAACTCAATCGGGCTGTTTGCAAAGAAACATGCTCCTCAGTGCGAACACAAGTGTTGCAAGCTGGTCTTCATTAGTCACAGTCAGCTCACTACCTCTTCACATGCGCATCCGGAGTGCCCAGTGGCATGACCAAGTTATTTCTTTTAAAGCAATGATTAACAACACAGAGACCGCTAGCCTGGGGAGACCCAAGGGCTATCTCGCTCCGCGTCCCATCTCTGCCAATGCACAGCATCAACTGCTTCAAAAGCAAGCACAGGAAACCCGTAAATAAGCATCAGAGGAATAATCTCCCAGTTTTTCCCCAATCCCCGTTAATGTCTGGAGACCAGGGTGAGACTAACCTAGAGATGGAACGAAGCCCTGGAGCATGAGATTTAATAGCCATCCTAGCAGGTTTCTGTCAGCATCAAACTGCAACTCTGAATATTCCTTTTATCTCTAACTCTATCCAATTTCTTTCCGAATGTTTATTGGTCACATGCAAGCAGTTTCACTCCGAGGAATGAAGGGCACAGAGGTTGGTATCTGGCACAAAGTCTTTCCCACAGAGACCGCCGGTCGGGAAGGAGCATGGCTCACGGGCCACCGAGCTGCCAGGTCCCTGCCCGCAGCAAGGCCCCTATCCAGCAGCATGTTGCACCTTGCTGATCTTCGGTGTTCCCCACACAAGCATTTGTGTGACTTACTGCTTAGCGATGACTAAAAGAGGGCTTGTTCTGTTCACGGACTTTGAATACTACTTATTTCCAGGTAAAGATTATTTGGAGCCTGCCAGAAAATTTTTAGTTCCACCGTTCCCCTCTGGGAAATACTGAAAAGGGAGGAAGGAAGGAAACCGCTAAGTTTCCAGATGTTTATTATCCCCACCAGCAGTACAGCTGATTGAAAATAGTTATGACCTGTTTGGCTTGAAAACTTGTTAAGATGCAGTGAATACAAAATGTTTTAAGCCTTTTCTGTTTATCAAATAACTGCAGATTTATACCCTTGCCTTTACAAAAGGCCAGTCTAAGAAATCGCAATAACATCACTGCACCAAAATCACACCGCTGGGGAAACATGAGCATAACTCGGCCCCTCGGAACGGTGGGGGAAAGCCCTAACCCCAGCTCTTGGCAGAGACCTCCAGTCACGCGGCACCGGGCCTCTCCGGCAGCAGAGCCGGCCAAGAGCTCTGTAACTGTAGCTACGAGGGCTAATTACAAACTCCTTTTAAAGGATTTGTGACTCTGACTAAACCTTTACTCTGGTCTGAAATTTACTGTGGCACAAAACGTCTCTGCCATTGTGCTTTTTTCCATTCTCTGTAAAAGAAACAACAAAACAAATTATAGAGAAAAGAAATCAGTTGGAAGTCCTCAGATTAAAAATCACAGTCTCTTTTTCAGCATTTACATTTCTTTAAAATTAAGCTGCTTTTAAACTCAAACTGTACAGCCCATTAGTCCATAAAGTAAATCAGTGTCTGCAGGTGCATAAAAATAACTCTTGTAACAACCCTCTTGTTTCATTTAGAAGACTCGCGAGCTGCTCGCGCGCATGAAGTTCATAAAGATCTCAAAGCGAACGACTCGAGATTGGCTTTTATGACGCTCAACATTTCACTACTCCATCGCTGAGCTGGCAGGGAATGGTCCAGCGGCCTGGGAGTAAGAGGTCCTGAATCTTACTCCTAGCTCAGCCCCCAAGCTGCAAATCACCTCTTGCTTTTCCAGACTTCCCACTTCCTAACTTTTGAAATGGGATAAGGGGCCTCATCTTCCCAGGGAGAACACGTTTGCAGGTAAGAGGGCTCTCTAAATAAGATCATTTTTTGTTAAGGCAGACCAAGTACCAGGCAGACCAGGAGAAGACTAGCTGTGGTTTTCCAGTGGTAATACTCAACCTCATTTTGGTACTTCCAGAAGAGTGGTTCAAAACGGAGTGGCGTGTGGGTCTGAAAATGCCTTCACTTCCCCCTCCAACAAAACAAACGCTTCTGTAAGCAAAGAAACCAAGAAATTCTGGCTTCTTCCTCCAGAGTCTCTGATTTCTAATAACGCGACCGAACACAAGCTCCAGCGTTTACAGCCATGGGGGACAGCAGTATGGGGCTGTCTCTCTTCGTGAAACTTACTGGAATTTAACACATCTCAGATATTTCCTCTTTCATCAAATTTGGCTAAAACTAGCCAACAGGGCCAAAAAGTCATGTAATATGACAGGACTAATAAAAGCACTGCAAGATACAGAAAAGACAGAAAGACGACAAAGGAAACAAGCTGTAAGAACTTAAAAAGGAAAAGCAAGACAGAAGACTGAGGTTGGGCTCTCAATTTTTTCAGCAAGAAAAGAAAAGGAGTCAGTAGCCCTCTCCGCAACGCTGAGATGAAAGGAGCTGCCACTGCCAGTGTCGAGCCCCAAGAAAGAGGTGTGCAGGCGCCTCATGCCAATGCTACTGGCACAGGAAGGATCACGAATCTGTGAATCAAATTGTGGCAGATGGATAACAAATCAATCCATCAGTCAAACTCGGAGGCCTGCTGTCAGTGGGGAAAAGGAGTAATCAGCATTCATACCACAGGACTCAGGCTAGAGGAGAATATTAGGAACTTCCAAATGCCAGGCAAGACACCAGATCAGCACAGCAGGGAAACAAATTAGGTTGGGCTGAATCACTTCATCCTGTAGGAAAGTACTTTTTCCAGAGCTTTGACTTCTCAGTGTTGAACTTCGTGGGGGAAAATACGACCCAGCCTGGAAGAGCTGATCCTTCATTTTAAGGACCGACTCACCCGCTAATGTAAAAAAAAAAAAAAAAAAAAAAAAACTTGTGTCTCAGGTTCAGCCTCCAGATTACTTTCCCTCAACCCCACTGCCCTCACACATGCACGCTGACTGCTGACAGATTATACGGAAATCAGAATAAAAGATCGGTCAAGATTTAGGATGCCCTGTTGGGAAAAAACACTGCTATGAAACACAAAAAAAGCCACTGGTTCAGCACTTCATCAGAAGCTGAACCATGGGCTGAAAGACCCCAACAAAAACCCAAGCAGAAGCCAAGTAAAGCTCCTGCTAACCCAGAGGCGGGAGCTGGGGGGAGACGCACAGGCAGAGCCGAAGGGGACGGGGGTTACAGGGAAGTCTGCCTGATCCGTGCTGGTGGAGCTGGGAGAGATCTCCGTGCTCAAATGTCGAGTCAGAAGCCTGCCCTGAGCTGCAAGCCCTCCAGAGAGGCATTTGCAGAGGTGGCAGCAGAAAGCCTAAAACCAGGACAAGAAAAACAAGGTGCACTGGCAAACATTTAAGTGATGCAAGTATATCCCTTGCCTGTTAACGCTGCTCACAGCAGAACGATTAAAGGTTCTGGCTTTAACAGTGATGTCCAAGAGCAGAAAGACAAGGACAGAAGACAAAGAGAACACCGCCGCACAAGCGCACCGCAGCTGAAGCAAGCTCAGAAAAGGGTTCATTTATGCCTTTTTTTAGGCTTATTCTGTTCTCCTGGGACCAAATTCATTCCCTCTCAATGGTTACTGCTCTGACTTGGGATCACTCTGTTCCACCACACTTTAGGAACGAGAAGGTACGCCGCAAGAATGCTGAAAAGGGCTGGGAGACGCTCGTTGCAAGGCATTACACAGCAGTTTGATACAGCAACAGCTAGGAAAATAGATCACCAAGACAAACAGAACAGCGCTGCAAGAGAAAGAATGTGCATATGCCTGTAGATATGCGTACGTACGCTCCCCCAACCCAGCCCAGCATCTAAATCAACTTTAGCCTCTTTCGCAAAGCATTAGAGAACAGGACATCTTTCTTTGTTTGCGTCCCTCTTTCATTATATTGGTAAATAAAAGCCTCATCTGAACTACACGGACAAGGAAGGAGAGGTTTTCCGACATGACGCTTGGCTACGTTCCAGCTTATTATAACTGTACCACGTCCTCTATATATCCTCTCCTCTCCCCCAACCTCTTACTCGACTTGGAGCTTTCCTGCTTCCCAGCAGCTGCCCGGCTGAAGCTTGCCTAGCCCAGAAAGCTCCACAAACGCACGAAGGGCGGCTGCGGCAGGCCTGGAGGCAAAGCGCCTGCCGCAGAGCCCCCCGCCGCCTCCGACGGCCACAGCCCCGTGCACTGCACAAGGGCACCTGCGCCAGGAGAGAGAGCCCGCTGGGTGCTGGAGTTTATTTCTAACCAGCTCCTGGACAGCATCACTCGTAACAGCAGCGGACAAGGAGGGCGACGAAAATTTAAAATCAAACACGATGATACCAACACAGTCCTTGCCTCGGTGTAGACGAGTCTCTCACTTTAAACACTCAACTCCTTTTCTCAGAACCTCATTCTCACCTTTCTTTCTCTCTTTCCAGCACAACCTGATAGGTAAAAATAGCTGAAACTCTTGTCAAAGGCCTGGAAGCCTAAAAATTCTAGCTACAGCTTGCCAGACTTACAGATAAGCTCACAGTTTGATTTGCTAATATTCAGTACCCACAGCTGAGGTTAGAATTTTTCAAAAAACTCAGAGGCTTCAAAGTGCTAAAACTTGTATTAGCTTTTCAGAGAGATCAATATCTAGCTTCTCTAAGTGTGAAAAATACATTTGTCCACTTCCAGATGGTTCCCACCCAAAAACTTTGAATAAACTAAAACTGCATCACACCAAAGTGCTCTAAATGATGTGCAGACAAGTATTCATAATGGTGCCGTTCCCTGCACTACTTAACTGGCCACTGCAGGAGCCTTCCCAGAACAGGGGAAAAATACCTGGACTTGTGCAGACATACCCCCGCTATTTGAAAATGCACCTTTCTTAAAGCCTTGCTTAGCTCGGGCAGAAGATTCTCTTTGATGTTGGCATAAAAGCACACACGCTATCAGAAATACGTTTTATAAAAGAGCGTCAGTTTGCTGTGTTGTGCTTAGCTTAGCAACAGGATACTGCAGTGTCTCAGCGGAAGAGCTGAATCCAAGGCAGAGTAGATTAATGAAGAGTGGATTGCTGCTACTCCACAGAATACTTTTCACAGCATGGGATGGTTCCCTTAATGCACTGTGCTGTTCATTGACAAGTTTATATGCTCTAATACAAATGGGCATTGCAAAATTGGTTCATGATAGCTCCCGTTGTGCTGATATCTGGTGGGACTAAAGAGAGTTACACAAGAGAGCATAAAATTACATAAAGGGTATAAACCCTTCATGCTTGCCCCAAGTAGATACTGATTGGATTAAGGAAAAAAAAGCCCCCCCCCCCAACCCTCGAACATAAAACTCGCTCTCTAATTGTTGATGACACAACTCCTGACAATCTTCCACCAAGACACGTAAGATCGGTGTCCGATCTTACAGTCTCCTACATTGCACAGGAGACTGAACTAAACAGACCTGTAACTTCCATCTCTCGTGACAATACATATACTCCTCGCTAGCGGGCAAATAAGAGCTGCAGAACTAGGACAGAGCTGGGAAACGAGAGACAGAATTCTGTCCCATGTTTGGGAATGAATTACCAAATGCCTCCCTCCGTAAAACGTTACACAGATAACGAACTATCACTGCAAAGAACAATGTGGGTAGAAGCACCCCCATTGAGTACCAAATACTTCTGCAGTGGCAGCACTGGCTGTTTTCCCTTCCTCTGTGTGGCATTACTAGTGATACTGGGTATCCAAAACATCATCCAACTTTCCAGGAAATACTGCCACAACGCTCTCTTTCTAAGCCTGAGGATAACTGCTGGCACAAGCTCTCAAATCTGGAGCCATCTTTCCCTCTTAATCTTAATTCTCTCCATTTTAAAGGGAGTAAGGGATACGACTATAAAAACCTTTACATCTTCTCCAGGAAAAACGTTTGGCTGGTGGCAAGAATGGCAACTAGCCAAGCACATGGGAACCAATCATCGCTGCCTTGGAGACAAACTCCTAGTTCACACAGGTGGCACTCCCCTCTCCGAACCCACTTCAAGCTTAAGGCTTCTCACCTTTTCCATGTGATGTTTCTATCGTCCAGGTGCAGTTCAAGTTGTTGGGATAGAAATCAGGGAAGCCTGGAGATAAGATGGTACCACTGGAACCACGAATGTAACCTCCACACAGAGCTGCAAAACACAAATAAATAAAAAGAATTCAAAACCCATCATCAATTCGGAAGTACAGTCAGTCCTTCTGAATGTCAATACAAAATCCAACCCATCAAAACTGTAAATAAGATACACAGATCAAACTTAATTGTGCCCTTCAGAACTGCTGCTATGGGTATGTCTGACAATCGTGGAAAAAAACTGCAGTAAGGCAAGAAGCTGCAGCCTCCGTTCCACAGAAGAGCTGCAAATTCAGTTTTTACCATCTCCTGCAGACATTACCTTCTACGGTCCTTACCCTCACAGCTGGGCAGCGGCCGGCTCCACTGGAAGTTTGGCTCACACTCCAGGGCTTCGCTGTCACTTAGGGTGTAGCCTGAATCACAGCTGAACGTCACCAGTGCGCCCACGTAGAAATCATTGCCGTGACGCTGTCCGTTTACAGGGATCCCCGGATCTAAACAGTGGTCGGACTGGAGCTTCACAGCTGCGGTAAAGAAACCCATTTGCATCGGACCCCTTAGCTGGCTGCAGAGTCCACTGCAAGGTGCAGTTACTAGCCTGTGAGAAAGTTCCCTCCTCCTACAAACTCAAAGTCCTACTCGTTATTCCCAAGGTGAGAGGATGAAACGGATAGAGGAAATCAACCCTGCTTCCTTCTATTAATTATATTCTGTAGATGCTAAAATAAAAACAAAACCCCCTCAATAATCAAGATGGTCATACAGGCAGAAACTGCTGCTGACTTATAACAGCTCCACATTCTCAACACACACCACTGAAATAATGCTAACTGCCTGGCAAAGGGGAGAAGCAACTCCAACGGGCCTCTGATTGAGCCCTTTGTGCTGCGGAGAGGGCAAGATTACCTGAATAACTGCACTTACTTTCATATCGGATCTGAAAGCCTATGTCAGAGTGGCTTTTGTCAGTGGTGAAGAGGAGGTAGAGGTAGTTGCTGGTGCTGATGAGGAACTGGGGCACCTGAGTCCCATCATAGACACCTATCAACGGGGAAGAATAGGACCGGCCATCTCGCACTTCCAGGGTGTCATAATTCACCTCAGTCTTAAATCTGAAATGGACACAAGAATATGACTGTGAAAAGAATGACATTTATAATTTTTCTATATTGTAATCTTGAATGGGCCCTAGTGACTAGAAGGCAACAAAGGCCAGGCGATAATATATGGGCCCAATTCTACCGCTCGATCACTGGTTGCCTGAGCATCTGAGAACAGTAATTTCCCTCCTTCACATTTCAGTTTCTGGTCTTTCATCTACTTCATCTACTGATGTGGTTAGGTCTTTGTGTCAACAAGCGCCGTACGCTGCGCGAAGCTCTTTTACGCTGCATAAGAGAGAGGTATGATCCAGTGGACTAGGTTCAATTCCTGCCACTTGGGAGGAGTTGCTTTCCTCTGTCAAAGCCTTTATTTCCTCCCTTGCCTTTTTCTACTGCAAGTTCCTTAGGGCATGGTCTCTAGCAGTGACCATAATGGGACCTGTATCTACTGTGCGAATGCACGTGGTCCTCAAAATCTTACAGGCATGCTCCCAACTATGAGTAGAATAACAATAGTAGTTTCTAATAATCAGTTCTCAGACGTATAGACCCAGATCCAATAAATTATAACCTGCTCGAGTTGTGAAATCTAGGGGAAGCCAGGAGACTAAGCACTCCCGAGTCAGGGTAAACCCTCCCAGCTGCTTCCTTCCCAGCTGCCTGAGCGCCGGGGTGCTCAGCCTCTGAGAGCGTGTTCTCAGTGCGTCTAGAAGAGCACTGAAAATTAGCAAAAGTCAGTCAAAACAAGAAGGGAAAATCACCACTTTCCATCCTTTTTTCTTGAACGTTAGGTGACTTTTAATATCGTGCAAGGAGTTTAAAAAAAAAAAAAAGAAAAAAGGAAAGAAACTCGGTGCGGGGCGGCTATAAGTCAATAGTCTGCAAGAAGAACCGAAAGCAATTGTTAAATATGTGAATAAAAAGCTTTTCAAAAATCCAGAGTGACAACCTGTCAAACGTGATCTTGATGGGGTAGCCTGGCTGGGCTTCCACGACCCACGCGCAGTTCAGGGAGTCCTTGTAGAATCCAGGCCAGCCAGGGGACAGGATGGTCCCGCTGGGAGACGTGAGGTGGCCCCCACACGGTGCTGAGGAGAAGACGACACAAGTCGGCTGAGAGGTGCTAGGGAAGGTGCACTGAGACTGGACTTACCCATCTCGGCTGTACAGTATTTTCCTGCAACGCAGTAGTTTCCGTGCATGATTGTTTCTCATGGGTTAAAAATAACGAAAGCAGATGAAATAGCAACGTTAGCTAGGAAGAAATCGGCATTTCAGATTAAACTTAAGATGCAGCGAGCTGCTAACGTATCTGTGCGAGAGCTGGTAGCGTGACCTTGTGCAGCAGCTCTACGCGGACAGGGTATACTAATAATTATTAGATATAAAACCAGAGAAAACGGCAAGGTCAGTTTGGTTTCCAGTAGCTGCAGGTGTGAAAAAATCTTTCATATCTCTGGTAATTGAGTCATGTCTTTTCTACCACAAGGGACACCGGAAGATTGTGGCATTTATTCCACGTTGCGGTCCCTTGTGCCATCAGCAGAAGCTAAAGGCATATTATTATCCTTTCTGGAGGAAGGACACTGAATCAGATGGACCAGAGGTACAAAATCCTACAGCCCTAAGTAACTGCAGTGTATCGTCCTCCACGTAACCAAAGCGGGTGGAAAACATGTGCCCATCTCTGTGAGCCTGTGTGTTCCCTCTGCTCGGGACCCCTTGCAGGCTTTGTTGGCTAGTTTTTAATCAGATCCCACTGGGTTCACTTACCGGCATAGGACACCCGTGTCTCTACTGGCAGCCAAACCAGGTGACCTTCAATGGGCTCAGGGAATTGCCACCAAGCAGACCAACCTGCTGTCCGCAGCAGCTTCCCACAACACTCGCAACCAACTCGGGTCTCCACAGCCCAGGTGGGCTCCTGCTTCTGCACACAGGCCGCCAAAGCAGCACCAACACTGGGGCAAGCTTCTACACACGATCTGAAAAAGGTCCCTTCCAACCTCAACCATTCAGAGACTCAGTGAGGCTTTGCGTAAGGGGTACAGGGCTTGAGACTCAACAACTCGCCTCGCCCAGGGCGCAGAGTGCTCAGTTGGGTTTGCAAAGCAAAAATACAGCTACAAGTGGGACTTTCTAAATCCCTTAGGTGAGGTAGGTGTTTACCTGAACCTTTATCTCCTTAAATATCTCTGTAAATCTGGGCCTAAAAGCTTCACTGCTGCTCTAAGAGGACACTAGATGAAAGTCAATTGATCTAAACTGGATCCTAATCAGTTATTTTTGAATAAGAAGCTCCTTTCTTCCCCCAAAGCTACATGAATCCCTGTCAGGACTTCTATCCATCTTTCAACTCTTTTTCAGACCTCTTTCTTTCCCAATAATTTTTTCAAGCGCTAAATAGTACTTTAGATCCATATACTCGCTCCTTTTTAAAAAAGGCTAATTAAAACGTACACACCGAAGGGTGAGTCAAAGAGAGAACCACTGTGATCACAGAGAAAAAAAGCACGCGTTAATGGCACAAGGTTATCAAAGCCTTCAAAGATAAAAGCTGATAAAAAGTGTATTATTTTATGTACGCTTCCTTTCTGCTGGTTAGAGATACATAAACTTAAAGGCTCATACCGGTGAAGAGAATGGAAACCCTGAATCAAATCTACAGAGATCTTATCATCAACTGCTTGCAAAAGTAGAATTGCACAAGGATATAAAAACCCAACTTCCTACTGCCTGAAAGTCACTGAATGCAAATGATACCTTCTTTTAATTTGAAAGACAATGGAACAGATCCTGCACTTTCTGCTGCTGATCTGTTTTTAAAATGGATGACCAATTACTGAAATTATTTCTCAATGTTACGGTACACCTGTAATTCAAATTGTTGTAAATATCAGTGCATGACATGAGTTCGCTGAGAACAGAGGGGAGAGGAAGACTTTTCACTTCTAACAAGCGCTTTTCATTTCACTTCTGTTTTTCAAGGCAGAAACTTTAAAGGACTAGGAAAAGCTTTGAAATCTGTATTAAAGCCTCTAATTCAACCCATTTCCCTCATTTCTGGGTGGGAACTCACAGCTGTAGCAACAAAGAGCTGTAAACCGCAAAATTTTTGGCTCTCCCCTGCCAGAACCCATTAAAAGGGACTGAAGACACCGACAAAAATACGTTGAAGACAACTGTTCACTGTTCTTTTCGCTGTAACAATCTGTACCTTCTATTATATAAGGATTAAATATTATACATATATCAAAAATCAGGACTGAAAAAGTTATCTCCATGTATCTTCCCTTCTCAGTTCTGCTGTTTTTCCCAAGGGTTGCAAGGACCAGAGAGGGTGGTTCTCCCTCATGCATGTGTGTGCAGACTAGAAGGAAGGATATTAAAATTTACCTTCGCATCTGAGCACTGCGTTGTTCCAAACCACGTTTCCTTCCTTCAGGATGCAAGTGATGGTTTCTGAGCCGTGTGTCCTGATGAAGCCCTCGTCACAAAGGAAGGACACAGAGCTGCCCAGCTGGAGACTGTCACCAAATCGCTTTCCATTCACAGGCACTCCAGGGTCCGGGCACTCGTTATGCCTAAACGCTAGGAGGGGAAGACAGAAGGACGGTGACTTGTTTCCCCTGCTTCTGGCCAATCAGGTGATAAGTATGTGGGACCACAAACTCAGGAATTAAATAATATCTTCACATCCTTGCTACAGAGATAATTGGGCACTTGATCTTGCACCTGGAGAGCTGACACTCCTCACATGGAAGTCGGCAGCACAGAATGAAGTTGGCCTATGGTCGTCCCAGCAAATCTACAGCGTTGCACACAGGCGAGTCAGCCCATGGCAGAGACCATGCCTCCACATCTTCCTAAGCGGCTAAGATACCCAAGTATGCGGCCCCATAGTTTAACTACGTGTCTTGTTGAAGTCACTTAAATTTTTCTGTTCCCTGTCTATACCGCAAGAATGTTCATTTGTGACCTCAGAGAAGCACGATGAAGCTAAAACCATCTGTGCTCCTGAGGTGGTGAGTAGAGCCGTAACGAGGACCAGAAAAGAGTCTGCAGAATCCTGTCGTTTCAATCTTTCACATACAAAGATGCACAAACAGTCAAAGTAGAGAAAAATTTCACAAAACTCTAGAAATACTACAGTGCATAGAGGGGCCGTAAATTAACCATTAATGAGAAAAAATGAAAGCTTTGAGGACCTGAAATTAAAATCAAGGGCCCTCTAACACGTCCTGTGTTTGTCTGCCACAAACGGCCTTGCTTGTCATCGTTACTAGGATAAAATGAAGGACACAGAGCAATTACCTTTCTAGGTGCTGCAACGTTAAGTATGGAACTGCACAGACACAGAGCTCTGTTTAAAGGACTGCCCTTTTCCAGCACTTAAAAATTAGGACTGCTAACTAATCAGAAAGTAAGGTTACAGCCTTAATTTCCTATTAAGCGCATAATCACATACTATATCTTCACATGCTGGGAGGTGGTCTTCAGAGACGAGCAGCATATAAAGATTAAAGTCTCCAGATTAATTAGACACACAGAAACACACACTTTTAGTGTCTTCAATGCACTTGACGGAACTCAAACGAGTTCTGGATTTCTGGCAAAGCATCCTTATTCTTGTAAGATCTTGTTATATACACGGCTAAGAGGGCAAAGCAGGCTGAATCTGCTCCTTGTGCTCTTGTATCTGACTCTTGCAGCAAATGTGGTCTCCTGCCTCATACCTAGACTGCAAAGGGAAGGACAGCAAGGTGTCTGAAAAGGACTCAGGAGCTCCCTTTCGCAGCTCAAGAAGTCAGAACAGATTAACTGCAGACCACCACCACCAGCTTTCGGTATGAGGTGTCTCCTAATTTACAGCATCTAGGACTTAATCCTGGGTGTGTGATGCTGCCACACACAAGCTACTTCATCTGATAAGGCTTCAGCTCATTGTAGTATGGCAAGTGATTTCTTAAGACCGCTGATTTTTTTCCAAAAATAGAGGATTTGCAATCATACCTAGAAAGGCTATTAATTTAGCTGTGCCACTAAAGGCTGTTATAACAAAGTCATTTATCGTTTCTGCTGAATAGGTTTAATAATGCTCTTTAGAAAATTACAGGACAAGGCAAAGATAAAATTACTACAGCATTCATTCTGAGATTTGAAGATTGGACTTGCAACAAGCCCAGTGGAAGTTTCTATGCTTTATTTCTATGTGTTTCCCTCGACCCTCAAAATTTGCATACCTTCATGTGTCAGCACATGACAGCTGATCAACACAGCCATCCATGCTCTAACAGCACTTCATCTGCATCAAGCAGCCCACAAAGCATCCTCTCACCTCCGTGAGCAGAACAGAGGCACAAGGAGGGGAAGCAGAAAGCCCATGTCACACAGCAAGCTGGTGGCAGATGTAAGAACGGAAATCTTGACTGCACCATGTACAGAAAAATCCAGGGACAGTTTCTGTCACCGCTGGACAGCCAAACCACACAGCCAAAAAGAGAACTTGGCTTGAAACTGGCGAGTGTTTGGGAGCTCAACTACCCAACTGCAAATGCAACGTAATTTGAGATACTGAGATTTGCTCTGGATTCGCACCGGTTTCGGGGAGATCAGACTCTTGCCTGTTATTTCCTGACAAAAACGTGGAGCCTGAAACGAAAACCAGAAAGGAGGATTCCGCACTTACTGGTGAATGTTATGTTGAAGCCTCTTTTCTCCATGGAGTGGTCAGTCTGGAACTCCAGCCTGGCAACGTGACCACTGCTGGTCAGAGAAGAGGGGATCTGGTTTCCTGAGAAGGTCCCCAGCACTGGCGATTCAGCAGTCCCACCATCCTTCACAGCTAGGAAATCAAACTGAGGCTCCACATCAAAATCATTGAAAGCCAAGTGAATTCGGCTTTCAGGTTTAGCTATAATTAACCAAACACAGTGCAAGCTGCTCCCATATTCTTCAGGGTAATTTGGTGACAGCACAATCCCAGATGGGGTGGTGAAGTTGAAAAAGCAGGAAACTGCAATGAGAAATCACCATCAATCATGCAGCACAGTGTTCCTACAAGCTGATCTGTCATGTTTCCCCCCCTCCCTCTTATCCCTTGAACTGCTTAATTCCTGTAAATTCACAACCGCTCTGCTTCTTAAAGACAATTAAAGAAAAGAAGGGCTCAGTGCTCCATTCACTGCTGGATGTCAGTGATTTATTTGCACAGGGAAGAAGTGCCTCCCGAGTAGTCTCCAGCCCCTGATTTCAGCTGATGTGCAGTTTTCCAGTCTAGCACAGTGCTACCCCCTTTTTTAAGGGTGTACATCCATACATTTGCATGGGCTTCACGCCATGCACAGCAGAGCACTGGTTTGTTTTACTACAGGAAGAGAGTGCCACTCACTCAGGTGGGAATTTGGTACTTTGCAGGTGAATTCTGCTGCATACCACTGAGAGAAAGCCTATACAGGAATCAAATACGTGAGTGCAGCTAGTGCATAACAAAATTAGCATTAAACAAGTTAGCTTTAGCAGTGACGATGTTTTCTGTTGTGGCCAGAACTCAGCACAGCATACAAAAACCTGATGTGACAAAGCAACTCAGCTATTACTTCATGCTGAGCTCCAGGCTTCTCTGCTGCTAACAGTACCCAAGTTACTTAGTCTAAAGTACTAGGCAAACTGCAGGTACACTTTTGAACGCAGTGCAGACTTTTCTGGAGTTGCTTAAAAATCATGCACAAATCTGCACCTTTAGTTTACCTATTTGCTAAATGCAGTTTTCACTCATGCTCCTCAACAGAGGTAACTGTTCCCATGGGCAGTTCCACTGCTTTTAGAGAAACTCCTCACATGCAGACTATCCCCACTGTGCATTAAATATTTGTATGATAGGCCTATAAATTGTCACCTCCTTTGACAAGGAGCTGTGAGTCAATTCGCCTTTGTCCATCTCCTTGGGTAGCTGTTTAGACCTGTGCCAAACAAGCCCTGAAGAAGGAATGTTAACATTTGGTTTTGGTAGCAACTTTGCTGCTCAGTGCAGCGACAGCAGGAGAATGTCCCTGGGCCTCTCTCAAGTGCCATACGCTTGTGATTTGGGACAACACAAAGCAAGTGCTGGCCAGCTGCAATCTGCAGCTCAAGTGCACGGTCAGCTCCCTTTCCCGTTACAAATAAATCACTGACTTCTGCTGGGCTAGCGTGGCGCCAAGAGGAGGTATCCAAGTAGACTGTCATTCCCATGAACATAATTAAAAGCAGTCTTAAAATCAAGTTGAGGGGAAGAGTGCACACGAAAAAATCTTTGGCTCTCATGGGCTTTCAATATATACTGTATTTCAGCTGACAAGGTCCATTAGTTTCAAAAACCAAGGCTACTATCTAAGTGGTACCTACCCAGTGCTTTTGATACTTTATGTACATATGCTCTACTCATCTCCTCCCATCAATCACGTACCCTTAGTAAAATCCATTACTTGGAACATACATCCCACTAATTCCTGGCAAAAGGACAATGCAAGGAAGATGAGTCTAGTTTTAGTTCGGCATATACGCAATTATTTGGTTCAAGATTCACCCTCCCTCTTTTTCCCCCGTCTTTCTTTAGCTTCAACACTTAATGGTTTCAGATCAGGTAAGACGGACATTACCATGACACTATCAAGGCTAAGCACTACACAATCCATTTCCTACTCTCAGTAACAAAGGGAATAGATTTAGAACAGAAAAATCGCAAAATAGCCTCAGGATTTTAGCTCTTTACTAGAAGCTGAAACATCAAGGGATGTTGTCAAATAATTCTGCTAGTAAAAACTTGCCACAATCTGTCTAGGAATACCTACTGAAAATACATCCGCACACAGAGAAACATCTTAGCAGCAGGAACTCCTCAGAGGAGATAGGCACTTCCTATGGTTTTTAAGTCCAAAGCAGTAAATTAGCATTCACGTAGGACCTACAGTATTACACAGTCCGTAACTGAGAGGCAGGGTTGCTAGCAGAGCGAGCTATTATACCACAATGCTGCTGGCTCATTCCAGAAAACAACAACAAAGATTTTGCTGACAAAAGGAAAAAAAAAAAAAAAAGAGAAGAGAGGGAAGACTATAAAATTTACCTTTGTTAGAATGAAATGGCAGATAAAACCCCCAGAAGTCAGCAGGGAAGTAAATGAAAATTTTCATTTTCCACAGAGTAGAAGTAGTGCAGGAGATAGTCAAGTCCCAGGCTGCAGGACACGGCCACTGCCCAATGGGGCCACACACAGCTCATGGTGAGGGCCACCATCCCTGCTGGCAGATCGTGGGCACTCACAGGAGCGCCCCAGAAAGCAGCAACTGATCCAGAGGTTCATTAGCACCATCACGATGTCTGTGATACTGAGATCTTATTTATTAGCAAGAGCCTTTTTCCTTCGGCGTGAAAGCACGGTTTGATCTGGGGCTGCCCTGGTGCTGTGAGCCTCTCACACTTCCACCTCCCTGTTTTAGCGCTAGCGCTTTGCTGGACACTTGGATAAAGGCAGAAGCTGTTTAACAATATGTCAAGGACAGAGAAATATAAGAGGACAGCGGAACTAAGAAAAGCAGAAGACAGCTGAGCATTATCTGTCTCGCGCGCTGCTCTGCACATTGGAGACAGCGTGGAATAACGCGCCCCTGAGGAGCCATCAGTCATTTGAAACGTGACAACCAGACAGAGGGGCCAACGCAGCAGCCTGTCACTCCGGACCACTGAATTAGGAATATCCCTGACTCAAAGGCCCTGAAGCTAGGCCACTGAATGAAGTATTATGGTTATTCTTAAATGTTATGAGAGGACATTTTATTATGTGCATAGCTACAAAGTTATAAGACTATACTGAACCTCTGCCAATAATTATTACTCCTGATCAAGTAACACAGTAAGAAAAATGCCTTTATTAAGTACAGCGGAATAAATCACAACAAAACTCAGCAGAAACGGTAGAGTACCAAAGAAAGCCAATGAGATGCATCATTAACTGAGGAGTGCAAGATGTTTATTCAAGTCACCACAAACATGAACAAGAATTTGCCTTCACCTGGAGCATCAAACCAGTGAAGAAACAGCTCGTTGCTTCTTGTCCTGGAAAGTCAAGCGGCCTACCGTCCCAGCACGCGATGCCTGCGACCGAACTGAACAGGGTGTTTGACAGTTATTCTCCAGCACAGCTGTTCACTTCTGCATTTTCAGCCAGGAGCTATTTCTGCATTTGCCTAGTCCACTCTTCTCTTTTTCCTCTTCAACAGATCCTGCCTCCACACATATTTTCTCAGGTCTCCTGGGAGGCATACAACGTTCCCAGACACTTCATCTTTGCTATTCCTCCACATGAAAATCCAGGCTGAAACTGGGGAGAGAACATACCTGCAATGCATGGGAATGGGAGAGGCACCAGATTCAGGAGCTGAAAGCAAAGCAAGGAATCACTGTACTAATTTCAGTCTCCATAGGAACAACAACAAATCCTGATGTTTCTCTCAGTTTTTTGGATAACATTCCCACAGTCTCTGACCACCAGGGAGAGTGCTCGAAGACCGTTGCAGGTTTTCTGCCTTATTTTCCCTTTTCAAGAGGATCCCTCCTCTAGGTATAGCTTAGCGATAGGC